TGCATATTATTTATAATGGAATACTTTTCGTGCTTTGCAAGCATATGCGTGTTTATGTGTAATCATTTGTGAATGTTTGGTAATGTGAGCAGTCAGTGTCTGAGGTTAGAGTTGAGCTGCTACTTAGGTAGTTTGGACAGCAGAAAAGTTTGTCTCCTACACGGGATGTTTGCCTACACCGGAGAATAAAGATACCATTTACAAGTCAGTAACTATTGTTATAGAATATGATAAGCAATTGCTTATGGAGCTGAAACCAGACCAATAGTTTTCTATCACTTATTACAGCTAACCTGCAATGCTGAGTATCGTTAAGTGGCTGTGGATCCTGATCATGGTCTGGGATTGGGACAATTTTTGGACAACCATGGCTACTCTGCCAAATGTCTACTCTGTCAGTGTCTTTCCAATGTACCTACAAATGCCAGTGCTTTATAACAGAAGGCTACATTCAACTGCACCAATCAACACGATTCATTCAGAGTTTGGTTTGGCCGAATAAAATCAGAAACTTTCAAATAACCACATTTACCATTTTTAGTCCATTTCTGGCTTAGGACAAAGCGAGGTGGAGTTACCATTCTGTCCCATTAGTTTCCAGACTATCTCAGGCTTATATTCTGTCACCTACACTGACTTAAATTGATGCTGTCAAATCCCATCACCATGACAATCTCGTTCACATGAATGTTTTAAAAAGTAACACATGGCACATAGGATACCTGATAGATTTTACAGAGCAGCTTTAGTGTTTACCGTTTAGTCTTTTACAAATTATTTTTTTAAATATAAAATATTATATCCACCTACTGAGCTGATGATATTAGATGTCATAAAGGAGAACAGTTTGGAAATTCCATTGTGTAAAGTTAAATGAAGGGGCAGCCTCCACAACACCTAACAAAATTGCTGTGTGTTAGCGGCAGGGAAGATGGTTACACAAATGCCTGCTGTTTTTCTACAAGTTTTGCTGACAGACAAGAAATCACATCATTTAATATTTAAGTAGTCACATTATTTAATATTTAAATAGTCACTTCATTATGACTGACCTATTTTCCACAAGCCAGCCCCATCCCCTTCTATTTTGAACTAATCTATCGTAAATCAATTTGTATAGCTCAGTCACAAGTTTGGGGAATGTAAAATGAAACTGTTCAAAACACAGTATACAGCAGCTCTGCTCTATCCAGTCATACCCACTCTCAGTCTAAGGCTTTTTGATCCAATATCTCATTTATTTTTAATGGAAAAATTTGTAAAGGTCTGTTAAAAAATAAATGTGCGTTTCTGCAAGACACAATCAGCCGTCGATAAAAGCAACTAAAAAAGCCACTGAGGACCAGTGAAATAGAGGCAAAGGTCTTCTTCTGTGTAGAAATTCGACTCTAACAGACGATTTTAATTATTCTGAAATTCCCACGCTATTTATTACATTCTGTAAAGATGTTATTCTGGCTTTGAGATCTCTACACCTCCCGACACTGACTTGCAAACAATTCATTTCATTTTGTTAAGATATTGTGTGTCAGCCTGGCTCGGTTGGTAGCACTCTAGCTCCTGAATCAGAAGGTTGTGGGTTACAGCCCCATGTTGTTACTTTGAGCTCGTAGTCTAGGCTGTCAGTTGACTCCAGTGCAGGGGGTGTGCTGCATTGTTGGAGGTGCCGTCCTTCTGAGGCGATGAGATTTGATGCTGCAAGTATTTTATTAGACTTGCAAACTAAACTATCCGATCGAATGTCCAGATTTTAATACCATACTGGCAGACAATAGTGAGAACAACAACAACATGCATTTATATAGCGCCCTTCACGCAGCAAAGGGCTGACTATAGTAAGAATTTCATTTTGCTCACAGCTTGGCTTCAAATGTCAAACAAAATCCAAACAAATATCAGTGTAGTAACTATTTTTTTTCAAAGGTTACATCTTTGGGTGGGGTGTGTGATGGTGGTGTGGGGGGGATGGTATTTGGATCAATCAAAGGGCTCATTCTTCCATGGAACTAACTATTTTAATCAGAACTCCATCAACAACAACAACAAAATTACATTTATGGAGCGCGTTTCATGTCAGGAGGACGTCCCAAAGGTCTGAGAGTGTTCACAGAAATGACAGATATGAAAAGTCCATTCATCCCATTAAGCCTACGTAAATGTCAGCTCCTTCACTGGAGCTAAATGTTTTTGTCACCTGGTCCTGATTGCAGCCACATTATGTCATTTTAAGGAGGTCCATTATGTTAGCTTAAGGAGCTTAATGCTCAGTGAGCTACATCCCTGATAAGGAAAACTAGTTTACCAGCCGCCATGGGTCTGTAAGAACAGCAGTTGTATGGACTGCACAATGTGTGGCCTGTTCCCCCCCCCGTTAACAGATATACTAATTTTTCTTCTCTAGTTCAAAAGCTCTTATCTCATGTTGTACAGTCAAATTCATTTGAGCACTTCACTACCAAGGAAAGAAGAAAAAAACAATTAAAAGTAATGTTCTTGAAAACTGCTGTCCTTACACAGTTGCATTAGTTTCATGGTGTGGCTAACAAATTGTACTGCAAGGCTTTGCATGGAGCCAAAACATTTTATGAAGATTCCACAGAAATCCCGCATACATTAGTCTGACTGTTCAGACGTATACCTTCAATAAAATATTCTGTGAGATATTGTTTTGAGGCATGCCCTGCTCTCCTAATGACTCCCTTAAAGATTTTTTTGGTACAGGACTTATAGGATAATTATCAATCTTGCAAGATTTCTGCTGTCATTCAGCACATAATAGGATCCCATAGATAAAATGCTGGCGATCCTATAGGAATATGTAATGTGCTAATAACAGTGGTACAGTGAAGACAGCAAATACCTGCTGTCTGATATTGATCTATCCCTATTTTAATGTGTCTCTGTTGATGTTCATGTCCTGTGGTAAAGAATATTGCCTAAATTAGTTATCCGATTGGTTCCGTTGATTAATGACAACACACTTGGGGATGTACTGCACTTCTCATGACAGAATAATCAGTACAACCACAGAAACCACTGGTGGCATTATTTACTTCTCATTTTTTAAGTTCATTTATTAAATTATTTAATTTATACTTCCTAACTTGCAATTTATTAAAATGACATGTTCTTCGATGTGAGATGTTGTTAGTTGTCACATATGGGTAAGAAAACAAGTTAAACAAGGTGTTTGAATCAATTTCTCGTAGCTCGGGGGAATTGAAAATGCATAATCAAGATTCAAGAGTTGACCTTGTCTAATATCTGGCTTTGTCATATCTGGCACATAAAAGTCCACTTCACAGCAGATTAGTTTCTATAACCAGTGTTTTAGCAGCAGTGGCGTAAAGACCTATAACAATATTTACATAACATAAAAACAACTTACTCAAATGGTGTGCAGAAAAATCAATATGGATTTATTATAGCTCTGCATTGTAAATGATTTTTCTTTTATGCAAACTTGTATATAGTTCATATGTTTCCACAGTGAGATCTTTTGCATGGTTTGAACCAGCCTGGATCAATAGCAGTCTAATGGTGCAAAGTCGCTTTAATTAGCAGCTCAGACCGACCGCTTTAGTTAGTGGAATTGCTGTCATGCACTTCAGATGTAGGTAAGGTAAGTGTGAAATAGAAAATAGATGAAGTAAAACATTCTAAATGTAAAGTCTTTGAAAACTACAATTATAAGGTTCAATTTCTATGTGTGGGGGAGAGGGCTGGTGGGGGGTTAAGTGGTTAACTCAAATAATTGAGTTTATGACGAAATAAAAAAGAGGCAAACCTATAACATGCAAACCTAGCCTGTTACCCATAATGTGCAAAGGAACGTCTACTCTCACACCGAAGATAAGAGCAAATACTTAAATTTCTGCATTCGGTTTAAAATCAGCAACAATAATAATAATAATCCTTGCACTTGATATAGTATTGTCACGTCTTTGAGAATAATGGACTGGTATAATAACAACTTGCACTTTATATTGTGACTTTCACCCAGTTTCGTGTCTCGGAGTGTATGTTCAGCCGCGAAATGAAGGCAAATGAGAATAGTTTAAACTGTGTTTTTAGTGTGGTTGAGGAGGGGAGCACAGTTTGTATGCACTGTAACTCATGTTTGCAGGAGGACTTAATGTCACCAATTGTAGGATGCTGGTCTATCTTGTAGCATGATCTGTGCACTTGTTAAATTTCATTTTAAGATGGTAATAGGTTTTCCAGCATTGACAAAGTGAGGAATGGATGCAGAATAATGAAAAACATGTAATGTTTACAGCATAGAAGAAGTCCATTTGGTCCATTATCGCTGCTGGTGGCAAACTCTCCTATTGGAGCTGACTACTCTAATCACATATTCTTGTTCTTTTCCCGTTCTGTTCAATAGTATTTTTCCTCAGATTTGTACGTAATTCCCTTTCAAATGCTTCAACAATTAATTATGGTGAAGCGTTCAATTTTCTAACAAAAAAACCCTCCAAACTCCTCATTAATCATTTTATTTAATAATTCGTCAATTCATTAGGTTTTAATGATTTTTTTAAACGCAATAACAGAGTTAACTTCACTACTGACTTAAAATGTTTTAAAAATATTCTGAAGACTATAAAGACTTATAATAGGGGCAATATTTTTGATCCTGGTAGAGAGGTGGATCTGATTGTGGACTAAGACCCACCCTGATCTGCTAACTGGAACCTCACTACTTGTATAATGTAATGGAAGCATGCTAGGTCACTGTGCAATTCGTACAAAGCATTCTGCACAGCATCCAGAATAGACTCAATATTCTGAATCCTCTGAGCGCTCCGAGTCTCCTGAAGGCCCAGCAATATATGAATTTCTTTCTCTGAAGCGTGACTTGTGAGTGACTTGAACTCTGCACACAGTTTTTCTCGATGTACTGACGGCAGACACCAATGGTAGGGCTCATTAATAAAGGTCAAGTGATTCATTTCAGGTTATTCAGCTGTTTACTTTGCACGAACTCATCTAACTTATTACTGGATTGCTAGGTTAACTTTTAAAGTTGCCAGCTTTTGCTAAAGAAAAGCCTGAAATGGAGAAATGGCAGTGCAGCGGAGGCAGAGCTAGGGAATTAGGGCAGAGCCCAGGGAGAGGGTCGAGTTAAGTAAGTAGAGCAGGATCATCTTCCACCAACAATCAACTGACTTAAGATAAACAGGTACGTCTCTGACAAGCAAAGCTGTAGCAAATACTGTACACTGTGTTGTCTGTCTTGTGCAAGGCAAAAAGGTCCTAAAAGATGGGTAGGGTGAAACTAGAAGAATTTAGATTATTTTCTTTCAGGGGAAAAAATGAATAAGCTTTTCAAAATAGCAAGTTAAAACAAAATTGCATATCTTACTATTTGTCACTTGCAGGTCTTTGACTTGTGTTTATTCAGTCTGGTAGCTGTAGTGTCCTGTACCTCACTTCTGCAGAGTCTGGTCATTGTTGAACATTGTTGAACATTTCCCATTAAAACTGATGTCAGCGACAACAGTATATGTGGTTTGGATCACTGTGACCTTTTTGCAAGGCGAATATCAAAACATTTGGATATAAAGCACCTCTAAGCAATGATCTGCATGCAGGAAAGAAGCCGAGATAGGTTGAGCGGTTGAGGTATTTCTTACCTCTGTTTAGTATTTGCGAAGACTACTACATTTCATTTTCAACCCGTATGTGAACATAGGCGTTTAAGTCTGATTTAAATGGTTCCTATTACTCAACATGTCATTTTATAACCTTACTCAGCTTACAACACTGAGTAGTGTGATTAAGCCCATGATATAATACCAAGCACCATGACTTAGCTCATAATATAACACCTCTTACCATGACTCAGCCCATGTAGTAACACATATGGAATATGATTTTCATAATGATGATGCAAAACTCAACTCTCTACCCCAATTTCTCCACAAATGAGAAAAGCAATTATTTCATTTGGAATTTTTCCAAAAGATTTTTTTAATACTGGTGCTTTTTATTTATAATTGTGCTTTAAATAGAAGATGTGTTGTCAGCCACTGGATATATTTAGCCAGCTTGTGGACCTATCTTATGGATGGATGTTCAGAAAACAGCGTATCCAATGGGGAATTTGCCATGTATATTTTATGTTGCCCCTCGGCACAGGGAGGATAATAATAATATTATTGTAGCGCCTTATCCCATGATTGATGTCTCAAAACACTTCACAGGATTTTACTGTGAAGTCTAGTGACTGTGTATTTGTAGGCGAATGTTTTGTGTTATTTAAACATAACACTATTTACCTGAAGTCGGATGCGCTCCTTTGTGATCACTGCAATGTGTGTGACGTAAAGTGGTGGCCTCCTCTTTTAAGCTACGTTGTAATTTAATTTGTGGAAGGCAAATAAACCAAAGTTTGCTCGTTTGCTGAACTCCTGCTGGAAATTGCCATCAGATGAACCTACAAATGTGGAAGCCTGTAATAGATACAGCTACTATAGCAGTGCCACTAACTCAAGGCTTGGATTCTTTTTAATAGCAACTGCTGAGTAAGTGCTGGTCTTCAATTGTGGAGACAGGTCACTGTAATTAAAATGCGATACAGCACCAAATAAAAGGCATTTGAGAATTTGGGGTTGCTGATACACAGGTGAAGGTTTTAAAGCTGCAAAACACTATTGAACTGATAGAATCCTAACAAAATGTAACGCTCTAAGTTGCATAGAAGGGTATGGCATAGAAACAGGCCATTCGGTCCAATTTGTCCATGCCAGTATTCATACTCCACATGACACCTCATCCTACCTGTTCCCTCACCTAAACCAGAATGACCCATTAATCTGGAGGAATGTTGGTCAGGACAGACAGATACGGTTTTCAGCCACTTTTCCACAAAAAGGAAGCTGTGTGCCAGTGTTTCTCTTTCTAATTCAGGGTGCTGGTGATGGAAAAATATGTTTCGTGGTTTTAAAGCAACTTGATGGTAACTGCACAAAATGAACAACAAATTGTATTTTTGCAGAATAGCATCTCGGAGCACTTGCAATAGCTGATAATAACCATACGATGTAGATAATGGTTTAAAATATCATTTTGTTGAAAAATAGAATTTATTTACTTTTTATGAAACACATTGTCTGCAGTCAACGTTCACCTTTTTGGGGGGGAAAAAAATAATTGGCTTTCATTCTCTGCGGTATTCTGCCACAGATGAGATCAGATAGGCTAAAGAACCTTCTTCATCTGAACTAATCTTGTGATGTTACATTCTCTTATACGCTTCCAGTGTGTGTGTGGTTCAGTTAACTTGGCTATTATCAATGAGTTTGCAAATGATTGCAGCATGGTGTGAAACTTTCATTGGAATTTTTAAACCTCACTCCCCCTCCACAAAAAAAGGAAAGAATTTAAAAGGCTGCACTTAATAGGTAGTAAGTCTTTAAATAAGTCTTTATTTTAGCCAAGTTTGCATCACTTTTCCCAGGCAGTCTTTTGATAATGGTCTTCATCTCGTGCACGGCAGCATAGAGGTCGGGGTGAATTTGCTCTTTGGCATTATTGTGAAGGATTGTCCGTTTTCCCTGTCTCTGCAGAGGTCAATGTGAGTCTGGTTTAGCAGTACAGTGGGGGAGTACAGTCTGTGTTCCCTGTCTGCGTCAAGATGGTTATAAATTTGCTTTTTATTTAAGCAAGATAAAACTAAATGATGCAGAACACTTGGATTTTGCCTGTCCCAGTTACTGGTGGAGTTTGGATTCACTTCTTTGTATTACTTTGATTGTTCCATGGCAGCAGTTGAAAGACTGACCTCTGAGAATAGAATTCACTGGGAAGTTTCGTTTGTGGATGAAATGTTACCAAAGATTCTTGTATCTCTTTCCACTTAGAAAATTTACATATTTAGATGCATACACAATGTCAATTGAAAGGCAAATGATAATATAAAATATTCTTAAAAGCTTTTCCAATGGCTCAAGTGAATTTACTCAATGATTAACTGAGGCTTACAGATAGGGAATGTTGTAGATTCGATCTCTGGTATGTGATGAATGATTTGATCTCAGCTCGAGCTCAAGTTGGGGTGCTGTGTTTGAGGTGAAGGAAAGCCAAGACAGCCTGGGATCCCATTCCTGACCATTGTTTAGTAAACCCTGGTTAAGGTTATAGTCTGACAATACTCACCATCAAGGCTCACACATACCTAATATGTCACAAAGGTACCAGAGGTTAATGAAAGCTCAGGGAACCCTACTCCTAGCCAAAAGGCAGCAGAGGAAGATTAAGAGAAAATTGGGAAGCGAGAGGTGAAAATATATCTTAAAATGCTTCTTTTCAATAAGAGCCTTTTATCTGTCCTTTCTTTTTTCATATTTTATTGCCTTTTTTAAAATTAAGTTTTAAACCTTAAACCCCATTGTCACCAGATGTCAGGAAGGAGGCATTCTACTTGTTCACAAGTAAGCTATGCCCTGCTCTGTATCTAGGCTACCACCAGCACTGCGCCACAAATGGCTGGAAGGATGCGTGGTGCCATGTTGGTGCACTATCCTTCCTATCTCCTTTGTTTTGGTAGAATGTTCTAAGCACCTACTGTTCCATTGCACCCTCCAAACAGCCGAAGCTCGCCCATGGATCTCAGTAGATAACTATAATTGGGATTAGAAGTGAGTCCTGCAGACTAGTGCTGGAGATCTCTTCAGCATCGATTATCAGTTACAATGCAGAGTGTGTATATTGTAATGTACAGGGCGGATTTATACTTAAAAGAGCAAATTTCACAATAATCAAATAAAGATAAACCTAGTATAAAAATCTTCTGAGCGTCTGAAAGTTGTATTTAAATATTGCCAGGTCTGAGAGGAGCGTTCTCCTCTATTAAGAAGCAAAGACACATTAGGTTTCATTTTTTAAAAAAAACCAAAATGAAGCGTGAGCTCTACGAAAGCTTTCAAGAAACACTAATTGGAAATACCTAGCTAATGCCAGTAAGTCAAACAGAGGAAACATTAAGTTATTATTTTTAATAATGTTTACAAGTATATACAGCCATTTTCCACCTCATGAAAAATGTTATCCTTGGTAGAATGTGGCAGTGCAACTTTTCACTGGTGACGCTGCTCATCTTCTCTCTGATAGCAATCATTAGTTTTATTTTTTAACCCAGTCTTCAAATGAAGACAGATGGGCAGCAGAGTTTTAAACGCACAGTGTTTATGTACAGGAAAAATGGCTGCAAATTACAGAGGAGCAGGACATCTGGCAGCAGGCTATTGAAGAGCCGTCTTTTTAAAAAAAAATAGAATTGCCATTCAAGGACGAGGCAACATTAAAGTGAGTTTTTTAAAAAAACACAAGCATTTGTAGCATTAAAGCAGAAACAATTCCCCCCCCCAAAAAAAAAAATCTGGAAAGTCTCGCAAGCTGCATCTCAATCTGCATTATTTATTAGTACTGAAAGTGAAGGCACTAACAGCAGAGGAAATTCCTCTCGCATGTGCTGTTACTTTGACGATGAGTTTATAATGGGAAAGCCTGATTCCAAGCTCAAGTCACTACTCTTTGTGGGAATAGAACCTTCCATATTTCTCATTCATTGATATCATATCTTCAAATCACGTCATATTTATATCAAGATGGCGTTCATTTAGTGCCTTAATATTTTTATAGCATACGCCAGCTCGACATGTTTGGACTTTGTTCCTGTTGCTGTTCGCAATTGTAAAATCTGTGGCCATCTGTGACCCAATCTCTCTCTGAGCACAAACTAGTCCCACCTCAGTCTTTCCTGTGGATCATTTATTTCTCCTCCTCACCTACTTCTGACCCGTTATGGAACAGTTTTTTAGCTTTCAGTCTCCGGAATTCCCATTACTTGAGCTCTTTCTTTCCTCGTATTCTAAAATGGGATCACTTTCAATTAAAATTTAACGTTGACCCTTTTAATTTGAGGAATTTGGTCTGATTAAAAAAAAAACTTCCCCTCAAATGAGCTAATCTTGTAAAACTCAGCATGTACACCATACTCAGCTCCTTTTCCATCCCTGATTTTTCTACCAATCTTCCTTCACCCACTAACTGGCAGTGACATGCTCTTTTCCGAATTGTAAGTTAAGTTTCTTCCCTTTGTACCGCCTCCCCTGTGCTATGTGTCATTTCTCTGATTGAGCAAGCAACCCAATGAGCCACTTATAGATCTCAGACAAT